CCAGACGGATATCGAGGCTACCCGTGGGCTGCCATCACTGCTGACGAATGGACTGACTGGTCATGTTCGTGATGATGGACAATCTCTCAACGACTTTCGGCACTTATTGTTAAGGTATTGTTTGCCGTCGGCGATTTGTGGAGGACGTGCACCGAAATGCAAGTTCGCCATCAGAGAGTTTGATAGCTCAAGTTTCGGCAAGACATATCTGCGAGGTACCAGGAGTTGATCGATCATGCGAGGTGCTGTGGCGAACCACGGGGAGAACTTTGGGCCGCCGGAAGTGATCAAACCTTCTCAAATCTTTTCGGAGGAGTTGCTTCTCACCACTGCGTCTGCGCACGACACTGTCGGGATCTATCCCAGGTTGGTGAAACCCTTTGCTGTTGATATGACCAATTTTCTCCCTGATCTGTTGGTGTCTGGGCTTCCCTGGCTGGCTTTTCTCGGCGACCTTGGCTGACTGGAGATTCGCTATCGACTTCTTGCATGAGCATCCGGTAAATACGCGGGTGAATATGGGCCTCCCCAATCCTATGGCAGGCCGTGGCTATTCATCAGAGCTGAAAGGTCTTTTGGGTTGGTCACCTCACAAGTTGAAGGCGTGTGCTGTGACGGTTAAGCGACAGGAAGAAGGACAGAGCCATGGCATGGGAGCAGTCATCTTCATCACAACAAGCTTTGGGTGTCGATGTGCTGAATGAAGACAACAGGAGTCCAATGAGCACGTGCAGATGTCTTGACAGTACTTGACAGTACGAATTGGCCGCTGTGGACTCTCAGGCAAACCAGAAGGAAGAGGGGCAGAGAGTGGGACAGGCACAACAAGACGATCGACAAATACGAGCTCGGTATCGCCGGTGGGATGTTCACCCGAAGGAGGGGGCCAAACTATTCACCAATTCCCTTGTCTCTCCATCACAGAAAGCAACAGAGTCCGGCTCTATTCCTTGCACGACGAAGACAAGACCCTGGCCAAATGCTCGAAGAAAAGAACGCGAGACAACAGAGACCACAGGTAGAGAATACAGGCTCGTGATTGATCGAGTCCATCTATATGTGACTTTATATCAATACATACGGACACCTACTCACCCACACAAGTTCTGCAAGTGATTGTGATCGGAGCATGGACATATCATCTGCTGCATGACACTCTACTCTGATTGAGTCTTGCAAGCTCTTCACAGACTGAAAGAAATCCTGTTGCTCGGGAAAACTCAGACACAGCAACACCTAGGCAAGCTCATGCACGTCTAGGCAATCTTACACCAGACCACATCATACCACATATCCCAGAGTGACAATGACACTCCCGCCCCTCCTTGTCGGCCAAGTCTGCGCAGTCACTGGAGGATTAACAGGGATCGGACGAGCAATCACCATCCTCTTCCTGTCGCACGGCGCTAAAGTGGCCATCAACTATCTGCCCTCCCACAACAAGGATGAAGAGAAGCTCCTCACATCGTTGCGCACCGAAGCATTTGACGCTATCAAGTCCCGCTTGCAACCTTCCTCATCATCGCCCATGGCTGTGCACGACCTCCATGATGTGCCCCTGCTGACGGTCTCGGGAGACATTGCGCTTCCAGAAACGGGTCAGGAGCTCGTCTCGAAGACGGTGTCTCGTTTCGGGCGGCTTGACACATTCGTTTCCAACGCAGGCATCTGCCGGTTCGAGGAGTTTCTTGAGATCTCGCCGCAGAGCTACCAGCGGCATCTCGATACGAACCTGTCAGGCGCCTTCTATGCCGTCCAAGCCGCCGCGCAGCAGATGGTCCGCCAACAGAACCCTCAGGGCGGAAGCATCATCGGCATCTCGTCCATCTCAGCACTTGTCGGTGGCGCCCAGCAGTGCCACTATACGCCCACCAAAGCCGGCATCTTGAGTCTCATGCAGTCCACCGCCACCGCGCTGGGCAAGTACAACATCCGCTGCAACGCTCTGCTGCCTGGCACGATTCGCACGCAGCTGAATGACGAGGACTTGAAGGATGGGAGCGACAAAAAGGCCTATATGGAGGGACGCATTCCCCTCGGTCGACTGGGGAAGCCCGACGATCTGGCCGGGCCCGCGCTCTTCCTCGCCCAGCCTGAGTTGAGCGGCTACGTTACTGGAGCAGCCCTTTTGGTGGATGGAGGAGCGTTTGTGAATTTTCAGTGATGTAACTGGACATGCACGTATGTACATGTACATGTATGTGCGGAGACCGAATATTACGCGGAATATTCGAAGAAAAGGATTGCGAATTACAGGCCGCGGTCATTTCGTGTAACGGGAACAGTCAATTCTGTACGCTTTGATGGCAGTGCCAGACCAGATCTTTGCTCGTTCCTCAGCCGTCAAGTTCTGCGAGGCAAGAATCGCTTCCACTAGGTCGTGCCAGTGGCTCCATGATTTGACAATGCCGGGACCGCCGAGATTACATACTGGCCAGTCGGAGCCGAACATGATCCTGGATGGTCCAAAGGCTTTGAAGACGACGTCAACCCAGGGGCTCATCCGCTCAACAAGAGCTGTGACGGGTGTCGGACTGGTGTCGTTCTGTCCCGGCAGTTCAGAGAAAAAACCCGAAAGTTTCATATAGGTCGACGGATGTCGGGCCATTTGTTCAATGCAGTCTTTCCATCTTGTGAAGTCCGCGTGGCTATTCGTGAGGGATTCCCGGGCAGACAGCCGTAGGTTGGGCTTGCAGAAATGGTTGATGATGATTACTAGGCCGTTTCCGTTCTCGTAGACTCGCTCCATCATCGAACATGCTTCCTGGAGTTGGTGCATCCCACCAGATCGAGCGTCCACTCCCAGATCGAATGTGAGGCCGTGGTCTCCTAGCCATTGTAACCCTTCGATGAACTTGTCCTGCAGCATCGTTCCAGCGGGCTTATCCTGGACGAGATAGCGGAACCCCTTGATGAGAGACCACTCCTTTCCCGCACGCTCTTGGACTTGTCGAATGTGTTTCGTGAGACCCGCCTGGCCGGCTGGCACTGGTGCCCACGGCACGATTCCCAAAACCAACGCGGCGTCTTCAGGCCGGTGACCCTCGCCTGCTCGCGGGCTGCCTCGGGCGATTCTGACCAAAAAGTCAACTTCCTCGAGAGCATACTGCCATGCATTGTCTTGCAGCCCCGATCTGCGGTCCGTCTCGAGGAAGATGAAACCTCGCAAATTGGCAGATTGATCCCGTGTGGCGGCGCGGTACTGGTCAAGGGAGTTTTGTCTGTTCAGTGGATGGTCTGCCGCGAGGTCGCCGGTCCAGTTCAGTGACGGGATATGGGACGCCGCGTAGAGGTGGATGTGGGAGTCTACGATATCTTTGGTCGCCGTGCCGCTGCTGTGCTCAGATGCCATCTTGTCCTTCGTGGAATAATCACCCAAAGGACAATATGGGGAACAAGGTGTCTGTCCTTCCTTCTGGCTAGTTTACCTACACCGCAGTAAAGCGTTGAGAGGGGGAGACTCTGGCAAACATAGGGGACATATAGCCTAATAACAACAGACAGCTTCTCCCTAACCCGCCGAGGTCACAATGAGTAACTCCCCTGGCCCCCTGTTAGATGGCTCGACAGAGGTTACCATCGTGGAACTTCGGTGTTTCGGGCCAATGTTGGTAGAGAGGCACAGAGGTTCTGGTTTTCCCTGTCACAGCCAACCGCATGAACGATTTGTTGTCACACTGTGCTGTATATGATCTCATCGTGAGAGGCTCTGGATCTTCTGTGGACGCATGTAGTAAGGTGCAACAGCGCAGCGCTATGATGAGAGGAGGAGATCTTGTGTCTGCGGAACCCAAGCGGCCCAGGCGCAGGGAAAGTCGGCGGTATTTGCCGTCACCAACTGCGTCAAATAATGTTCATCGTGTCATTTGAAACGCACCGAGGATGCAAATGACGACGAGGTCCACGAGGTCAACGAAGGTCTTCAGACTTCGCAGGGTGGTCTGACTATCTGCCGTTGGATAGACTTTACCATTACCCTTATTTGCCTTGTTTCCATGTGTCTGAAGGAGTATATAACTCATGAGTGAGACCGTTTGCCATTGAGGAGAGGGATTTAGATCTCTCAAAGAAAAAGCAGATGGCTTCCCATATCCAGTTCATCACGAGACCAAAGTCACCTTGAAACCCAGCAATCTCACTTACTCAGAAATCATATCATGACGACCCTATCTTCCCCGAGAAGAATGGATCATGCGCAGAATCATTCCTTCCCGACCCCTCCTACCTCCGCAGCCTCTCCTGCGCCGAGCACCGCCTCGTTGGGCAACCGGACGACTTCTCTCCCAACCCCGCGTTCGCACCGTCTGCAGCCGGGGTCGCAGAAGGAGATCGCCCTCATAAACTACTTGGACGACCGCATCTTGAAGATCACACGGCGATATGCCAAAAAGTTCAGCCACGAGGGGCTCGAGAGAGACGACACGCCGGGCTACACGACCTACGACGAGTTTGTGGCCGACGTCGATCCTTTGGTGGACGTTGTCTGGATAAGCGGCACCCCGACCATCCAGATCCCCTACCTGCTGTCTCTCGCGGGATTGGCGTGCAACTATCTCGAGGCCTTTCCCTTCTCGACCTCGGTATTCTCTCTCACGAGCAAGATTGATCAGGGGTTTGCGACCCTGCTGCAACCCCCGGAGAATAACACAGGCTCGGCCACCATACCCTACCAGGTCTCCATGACTGAAAAAGTACGCATCAAGTCGCTCATCGAGGAGACACGTGTTGTCGCCGTGAATGCCGCGTCGGGCAGTGGTCACGACGCTCGGATTCACGATCTCTCGGAGACGGAGACGGAAGACGATGACAAAGACGCAGAGGAAGACGACGAGCAACCGCAGAACATGTCTATATCGCTCGGGTTGTCCCGGATATACAAAAGGACGTTGGAGATTCTGGGTGATTCGCTGGTCGCAGATGTCGTGCCTCAAACCCAGGGCAATGATTGAGAGAGAAAGAGACATGTTCTTCACTTGATGGGCACGATCCCGAGAGCTAAGATGGCCTCAGAGGCGGGTGCACAGATCTACGGGTCGATATGCGAGACTACGCCGTTCGGCACAGCAAAAGCATCTGTCTGTACAGGAGCTCGCAGCACCCCGCATCGGTCCTTGGGACCGGCACTTTCCAACGGTTCATGCGAGACTGATAGAGAGGGGCTACATTCTGGACGGCAGCATATCACACTCTTTGCTTCCCCCAACTTCTGGTCACCTCATCTCGACCAATGCAAGGGCATCCATGGGTCTGTTGGGTGCAGCTTTTTGTGGGCTCCAATGCTTGCAACAAGGCAGCCAATCAGACGCGGCCACGCTTGGCCTCTGATGCTCACCGACATTAGCCACGCAGCACCAGCATGCACCAGGTACCAGGAACAGGAAACTTTATTGAATGGTCTGATTTTCAATTGATGCCCGAGGAAGTTCTTGGGTCACACAAATCAGATTCACAGCAATGTCACGGACCATGCATGTTAAACTTTGCAGAAGTAGAGAGCTTGACTGGCAGAGCTCTCTCTGTCTTTGCTTCTGCTTCTTAACCTCAAGATCGAGCTTCTCCCTTGCTACTCTGCACGTTGCAGCACTCTGAAAACATTCAAAATGGAACTGTTTATATTTCTTCTGTTCGTCCAAACGGCGTTCGGTTTCGCAGTCACACCACTACCCCGACAAACCGAAGAACTACTGGTGCCGACGACGACAACATCTACCGAATCTGGTACATCAATGGTCCCGACGACATTTTGGACCGCTACTTCAACTATCACTCCGACCAGATCCCAGGTACAACTATCAGCTCTGATAACGATTGCGCCGTTATCAGCCAACCCTCTCGAAAAGCGACAATGTTGTTGGAATGATCAAGGGTTTCGGGTGGATTGTGCTCAGTGGACAGGATATTACTACACTTGGGGACCACCCGGCGACCCTTATCAAGGAGGACCTCCAGGTTGTGGCCAGTCTGGCGATGGTGGAAGCGGTGGGAGCCCGGGAACCGTGGTTGTTTATCAAAATGGGGGCAACCCGATGGACCTGGCCAGTTGGCCCGCAGTCCTGGGAACACTTTGTCTGGTGCTTCTACTATTCATATGAAGCCCTTGATTCTGCGCAAAGTGCGGTTTACAAGGTTGGAGGAGAATCTCATGCTCCTATCTGTGGCAGAGTGACGACATGGCTTCGTTCAGGCATACAAGGTACAGCTCAATGACACAATTGTTCAGCAGCCAGATCGACCTCTTTCACAACCATCGTGACATCTGCGGCAACAAATCTGAGAACAGTATCATGGGCCAACACCCATGATCTAAGATCGGTTTGTTCATCACCGGCCATCGGCACATACACTGCCTGTTTGTTGATACTACCAAGAGACTAGCCATAAAGGATGTCCTTTTTCTGAGCCCTCTCTGCCTTGTGGTTTCTTTCTTTTTGTTGGGATGGGATCATAATCAGGAAAGACTGACAAAGACAGCACACAGCAGTCCCCAGTGGAAGCTCATTGTATAAATACACACGTCGTTTGTATAGAATCGTGCTCGGGAGACGTCAGCCGGGCATCTTCCACAACAGCTGTAACGCCAACCTTTTGCGCTCGAGATTGTACGCTCCCAACCAATCGAAGCCACTTGAAGTATTACTGGGAAAATGCTCGGATCGGGTTGGTGTCGAAATACTGCGAGGCTGTACTCCAAAGTCGTTCTTTGGGGACTGCCTCTGCCTCTGCTGCTCTCCAGCTGCCAATCTTGTGCAATTGAGCTGGACGGTCGGGATCAGAAGGCACCTCGGGTCGTTTCCGTGACGCCCTGGACAGCGAACGAGCCATGGGCCGGAACAGACCCTCACACGTTGGAATTGGGTCCATCGGGGGTGGTACTTGCTTCAGCCTTGACCGCTTCAGGGGTTTTGACGGCGACAGACCAGAACGCTGTCTCTTCCGCTTCTTTTGTGGCTCCGGTTCGGTCAACTGTCGCCTTTGAGGGGGATGAGTTACCCTCGGTTTTGTCTGCAGATGACGGAGTTCACGGGTCACTGGATGGCGATAGGACTGAGACTGAGACTGCCGATGTCGTTCTCACGTTGTACCCGATCCCTTCGGCTTCAAGCTCGGAGCCTTTGGTGACAGTCACGGGGGAACCGTGGGGAGATACTACAGGTTCCGCCTTTGTCATCCACGGATCAGACACTTTGAGCTCGACTGGCTCCACGACCATTGCACCTCTTCCCTCGAGCGCCATTTCGATCCCGACATCCGCTGCTGCCGCCGAGTCATTTGCCTCTCAAACGACGACCACTACTCTCACAACCGGGGCTAGGACCACATTGTACGTGACGACGGTTACTACGGTTCCGCACCTGTCTGCTCCCCCAGCGAATTCTACGTGGCTGGTGTGGACAAACAGTGTTCATCGACCGAGCAGGACGTGGTCAGCATGGACGAATTCTACAATGTCATGGATTATCTCGCACATCCGTCCTCCAAGTAGTCAGTCTCCAACGGTTTTGAGTGCGACCCTCAGCAGAATCTCCGGCTGCGGTGAAGACAGTGACGGTCTACGAGACACTTTCTTTGCCGACTAATTTGCCGACGGCGACGAATACCGTGACAGAATCATTCACATCGACCGAGACAGTACAGAATAACAGCTCGACTTCCAACGCACGCTTGGTGTCGTCGACAAATCCTGACGTCCCCACAAGCGTGCTCTCCGGGAATGCCAGCAGGTATACTCAATCGACTACGTATTCTTCCATCATGGACACTACGACAGGTTCAAACGTGGATCTATCCATCTCTCCTCAGCTGCCCCCTGGATGGGAAGGGATGGGATGGGATGGGATAGGATGGTATTAAATCAATCTGCCATTCTGCCATTCGCACATTCTGAATTTTGCAATAGCTCAATGGCTCGATCTCAATGTGGATACGCATACACACATATGTATGCACCTGGCTGTACTTGTACTTGTACTTGTACTTGTACTTGTACTTGTACTTGTACTTGTACTTGTACTTGTACTTGTACTTGTACTTGTAAAACTCACACCATTCCTGGTGGTGCATTGCAGCCAGCTGGCTCTTCTTAAGCACGACGTACAAGGTACAAATATGAAGTATGTCCCGTTTGGAGTCAAAGCAATATGAATGAATCGTTCCCAGCCTTTCTGGTCTGTGACAGCTATTGTCCAAGAAGCCCCCCCCCCCCCCCCCCCCCAGAGACATGCCCGGCCCGGCCAGCTTTGGGTTTGGACGAACTTAACTTATACAGAATTTCCCCAGTGCTCCCAGAATTTCAATCTTTCTTCTGGTCCTCGTCGTTGGGCTGGAAATTCAGCTGGTTCCCGTTGTAAAACTGCTGGTTCCTCTTTCCTGCGGCATCTGCGGCGCGCTGGTCAGCGAGTGTGCGAATCCGGACGTTATTCCCCGCCGCAGAACCAGCACCAGCCCCAGGACGCTGATCTGCGTTCCCACGTCCGCTGCCCGTAGGTGTCGTCTGTTCCGCATCGCCCGATCCATACCCAAGCAGTGACCGTACACCACCAAAGACCATCCCTGCCGTTCCACTGACGAGGTTGTACCCTCCACTCACAACACCCCCGAGTAGCCCGCCTCCCAGAGCCAAACCGCCGGACGCGTACGAGTCAACATACCCTTGCACCGGGACCATGACGAAGGTGCAGCTCCCCGTAATACCCAGGTCGGAGAGTTCAGTGTCTTCTTCTCCCGCTTCAATTGTGCGGTTCGGAAGGGGTGTCAGGATGAGTTTGAGATTGTATGGCACGCCACTTGTCCTGGCGGGTGAAGCGGTCGAGCTGGCCGAGTCAATCCAGGGACGGATTTCTTTTGTGATGGTTGCGCTTGAGGGGAACGTATTGCGTAACGTCGAACCGTCGAATGTGCGGACTTGGACTCTCACATCCCCTCGAGCGTTCAATATTGACGTTTTTGATTTAGCATGCGAAGAAGCAGTTGAGGAGCCTAGGGCCTCTGGCGATTGACCTTGCTTCCTCATTTCATCCAACATCCGCCTCTCCTCCCGGTCTGCTTTAATCTGTGCTTTGATCCTTTCACGTTCTTCGCGTTGTTTTTGTTCGCGCTCTCGTTGCATTTTGAGGTAATTTGCCCTTTGCGCTTTTTGTTTGTCACTCTCCGCACTGGAGCCTGACGATGGCAGGGGTTGGGCTGAGACTGGAGAGGGATCTGTAGGTATGGTATGTCCTCGCGGTGCTGATGAGGAGGGAGGTGACGGGATCGGACGGTGCTGTGTAGGGTAAACCTGTTCTCCCGCAGGTACAGGCACCGACGGCGTTACCGGTGGACTTGGCTGTGTAGGGTAAACCTGTTCTCCCGCAGGTACAGGCACCGACGGCGTTACCGGTGGACTTGGCTGTGTAGGGTGATGTGATTCAGTAGAGGGACTGGATTGTGCAGGACCAGAGGCCTCCTGCACACTGTTCAGGTCCCCAGACGTGGGCTCCGTTTGATGGGCGTCACTAGATTGATCTTGTGGTTTGGATTGATGTGTCCTATGACGATTCAGCCGGGGTAACAGTCTGCGATATCATAGATGCATACCGGGGGTCCTGGAAGGACGATGTTCCTCCATCTTGTCCAAATGCAGAGGCGAGGCGAGTCTTTAACTGCTCGGTCGACACCTCTGCGGACTGAAGGTTTTCTTGTACTCGCGCATCCCTACCCTTGTCAACATACGGGCTGCAGTTTCTCGGCCGTCTCCTACTTGATCACAATGATTGCGGGCGTGCTGTGGATCGGGCAGATCGAATTCAGAAAGCCGGCTTCTTCAGAGCCCTCGTTGAGTAATACTGCCACAGTTTGTGAGGAAACGGCTGGCGATATCTACTCTAGAGCGTTAATGATTTCGAACCATAGACATGAGGGAAATGCATTACCGAGGGATCCCTCAGGACAGTTTCCCATTCCCTGCTGGCTTCTGTGCCGGTATCTGAGCGCGGTTAACAAGACTGCCGGCTGCACCAGCAGGACAGCTTACCGGAGACAAAGCACAGAACAGCCTTTCGTTCGTGAAGCGCTGTTGATATGGCACTCGACAAATCTCCGTTATAGAACATCTTGAATGTAGAGTGGATCGCAATGGCCGATGTCTTGCGTCGATTGCGAATCAACTGATACCGGATTTCGTATGCAAGCGGAGATGATGCGAGGATCTTACGAGACGTCATTCGGCACGCGCAGCACCTCCGAGAAATTATTTGCGACTCTGCTCTCAACTGTCCATCTCACATACAGCTTTCATTTGAGGAGAAGACATGGCCAAGTATGACTTGAAGCTCCTCCGGTCACTTCTTTCGCGCACTGGGGGTCCTTCTCGTCCGTTAACCAAACCCCAATCTCGTCGCCTTGCGACCGAGAAGCCCTCAACACCACCAAACAACAATGAGGACTTTGTCTCAATAGTTGATGCACCTCCACGTCTGGTGCGCACCGGTCAAAAACACAGCAAAATCGGTATTGCCATACTATCGCTCATCCCAATCACTGCTTTTGTACTCGGCACCTGGCAAATCCAACGGTTGGATTGGAAGACCAAGCTCGTCGCAAGATACGAAGATCGTCTCGTGCGCCCACCACTACCCCTACCACCGAGGATCGACCCCGAAGCTATCCATGAATTTGATTACAGAAGAGTGTATGCCACAGGGAGATTCAGACATGATAAAGAGATGCTCATCGGGCCGAGGACGCAGGACGGGAAGGATGGTTTCATGGTGGTCACCCCTCTAGAACGAGAAGGTGGGAGTACTATCTTGGTCAACAGGGGTTGGATCAGCAAAGAGAAGAAATATCAGGTCGACAGAGATCCGGAAAGCTTGCCCAGAGGCGAGATCACCGTTTCGGGACTGCTCCGAGAGCCTTGGAAGAAGAACTTCTTCACGCCAAAGAACCAGCCCGAGAATGGCAAATTCTATTTCCCCGACGTTCACGAAATGGCAGAGGTTGTGGGCGCGGACCCTGTCTGGATCGAAGAGACCATGACTCCCGACTTATTAGTTAGCTATTCTCGAGAAGCGAGAGGGATACCGATCGGGAGAGCCCCAGAAGTCAATCTGAGGAACAATCATCTGCAGTATATTTTTACATGGTGAGTGTCTGCGCTTGGTTTGCAACAAATCGTATCTCATTAATCCGTCAGGTACTCATTATCCGCCGCCACAACGCTCATGATGTGGATGCTGTTGAAGAAGAAACCGGTTGACAGAGCTCGACGAGTCCGCCATGTCACCAATTGGTAGCATTTCCAATGGCGATCATTGATCCGCTAATTCATCGAGATTTAAGCCAGCAGCGATGTCCTTGGGAAGCAACTCTTTCGCAGCTTTCACAAGCTCTCCATCAACTTGGAGCAACCGTTGCCTACGCATGAGCATTAGGACGTCACTCTGATCGATGCGTTTCCGCCGCGCGTGGGTTGAGTAAGCTCCCAGGTCTTCGCCGACTTGCTCGAAATACCATTCGGTCGCCTGTTCAAGAGCTTGCATGTGGTCCCTTCCAAGTTTAGGCCGGCGATTGCCGAGCCGGGCTTGTGCTTCAATGGCTGCCCGTCTAATCAGGCTTCTGGGCAAGGACGGTACCATTTCCCCTTGTCGAGTCAACTTTAATTTCTTCCGACGGGTATGTTGAGGCGCTGGTCGTGGGGCCTCTTCCCTAACAGAGTCTTCAAGAGGAGCTCCATATTCAAGGTCCGCTTCTGGGTCCGCTTCTGGCTCGGGACTTTCTTTTCGTTGATGGCCATCGTGTCCTGATGGTGACGCTTCGACAAGTCTTGCTTCCCCAGCGCGCTGAGCATATTTTGAAGTTGTTTCCATTTCCGGAACCGGCAGTTGGAAGTCCGTATCGTCAAACGTCGGGATATGTAAATTGCTCTCATCAGGTGCGGCTATGGATGGGGATCTCTGAAGATCCTCGAGGCCCTTCAAGGCCTCAGTTTCCCCTCCCTCATCCCGAAGAGGTGTGTAAAAATCATGTTTGGTTTTCTCCAGACTCTCTGGAAAGCCCTGAAAAAGCGACTCTCTTCTGATTTCGAGCTCCGAATGGAAACCATCCATGTCGATCATCCCAAAGTCGTAACGTGACAGATTTTCTGTTGGTTCGACTGTTTCCGCCCTTCTGCCTCTCTCGGATAGGAACGTAGCTTCCTCATCTCCGCCATTAAAGCTGGCCTGTCCGACAGGATCTGACGCAGGAAAGGAACGTCTAGACATACGGCGGCTGGGTTCAGGCGAATGTATTTGTCTCCCGTAATCTAGAGACCGGAATGTAAATGTTGGATCCAGATTGTATAGCTTGCCGTCGTCATCTGGCAGAATTGAAGGCGTAGGAGCGGCTGGGAGTTCGCTATCCTCGTCCTCGTCCTCGGTTGGTTGAGGCATTTCAATGCTCTCCAGACTTTCGTCAATATCCAGAGCCAGACGTGGTCTTTTGGCATTCTGCGCGACATCCCCCTCATTCAGCGGGCTTTCAACCCATGGCGCTCTGTTTTCTTTTCCCCTCACAGTTCCAGGTGTAGGTATTACTCTTTTACTGGCGGGTGCAGTAATTTTAGCCAGCTGTCTCAAGATACCTCTCGCCGAGTCTGGTCGCACGGTGTCGCTGAATGCCCTCCTCCTGCGAACTGAGCGCGTCTTGGCTCCGCTTCGTTGTTGAAGGGCGCGGATCGCATGGGGTGTGGACGGCGCATATCGCGAAGGGGTCTGCGAGGCTTGCGTCTCTTTCAAGGTTTGTTTTCGAGAAGACATGTTGGAGTTCTGAGATTGTCAAAGGTCAGCGAAGTCGTGCGCCCTGCTCATGAATGAGAGGGGCCACAAGTCATTGGGAGACGCGTCTTGGTCAACTCATGGCGACACGAGATCACGTGAACAAAGTCGCTGAACTCGCTAAGTGCCAATAGACTCGTTTCTTTTCTCGTCAATCAGTTGGATCTGTCCCAAGTTCTATATGATGGCCTCGTAGGCCACTTGTCAATCTCCTATGTCTTGGACATGTTCGTTATTGTCTTCTCTCGCTCGCACAAAGTCGACCTCTAGGCCACGGACCATCCCCAAACCAGGAATAATATGGACTCGCTGGCAACATGTCGCTGCCGGGTCTATCGAAGAATCTGCTCCCGACTTCGCTCAACAGCTCGAATCCATGAAAACCCGCCACATGCCAACTGATGAAGGCCCCTGGGATGGATTCAATATCCGCGCTCTGCGGAAAACCCTGCAAAGCCACCTTTCGCTTTCAGATCTCCGGCCACCAAATAGTGTTCCCCCAGGCTATCATCAAGTGTCATTCAACAGCCTACCTTATGAGCATGAGCTAGGCCATGACGGTGCTGAAAAGCGCCATGCTCCCAGTGACGAATGGAAATATCGAGTATGGGCTGGAGGCTACATGGAGTTTCAGATTCCCAGCATATGGACTGCCCGGCCGAAATTCGTCGCTGTCAAGGAGAGAATTACAGACACTCGACTCGTTGGCGACCTTACCAGTGAGAACGCGAAAGTATTTGTCACGTTAACAAGGACACTCTTTCCCGCCATGGTAGATGCCCGGGGGAAACCTGTGCGTAGAAGACTGGGAGGTCTCCGCGCCACGAATCGAAGGGACAACATCGTGCTTAAAGAGGAGAAATACCTCTGCTTCATGCGGGAAATCCCAGAGAGTCTAAAATCGACCGCTCCACCGCGTATACTCAAGCCCCCCTCTAACCCGGTATACTCGCAAAGTATGATCCCTTCACCAACACTACTCTTCAGATTCAGCGCCCTGTCTAGAAACGCCCATGCCATACATCTCGATGCAGACTACACCCGACAGGTTTACGGTCTTCCAAAACTCATTGTACATGGCCCCTTGACTTCTGTCCTCATGTTGGATATCCTCGGCGAAGCTCTCGCTCTTCACACGGTTGGGAAATCGTACACCTTGGCCATTCGGACATTTCAGTACAAAAATCTCCTTCCGCTTTTTGTGAACGAACAGATCACGATCGCCTGCAAGAAGGTGCATGACATTCAACCACAGGGGACAAAATTTAGGACTGCATTCGGAGCGACTTGGGAGAAATGGGAAGTCTGGATTCAGAAAGGCGCAGGAGGAGATGCCACGACAGCCGTTCGAGGGTCAGCCTGGGTTTCGCCAATAGCGCATCCTAGTTCAGAGGCGGCTGCCAAAGTTGCCGCTGAGGCGCCAGCTCCGTCGAACGAGGATTCCCAGGATCAATACCTAATTGACGAGGAAGAAGAGCAGGCTGCCAGCGGTGCCTCGGAGGGATGAGCATCCTTGAGACAGGTCTGACTCAAAAAGCTCGTCGCTATTGACGGGATTCTGGTTTGGACGACGCACCGAGGTAGATGTCTCGTGGAAACAAAGGATCCGTGTTCTCCCTGGGCCCCGATCACCGCAAGAAGGTTCTCTACGCTCCTCGGAACAGATGCGTTCGCGCCTTTTGAACACCCCGACGTACCGTCCCCCGTGCGTAACGTGGGCAACCCAGAAACATTAGACCCGGGCTCCTCAAAGAAAGGGTCACAACTTGGACTGGATCACCCGTCCTATGGTGCTGAAACAACAACCCTTGCCTGAAGAAAGCGTGTTCACCTTTTCACACAGGTCCGAGACATCATTTATCAGCTTGAACATATGCCTCAACATTGGATTTGAGGCCACTGGGCTTTTGAAGCGGATTTTCCAAATGATGAATTGCCATTCCAGGAGTTGTGCCCGTGTCTCCTGGAATCTTCGTATCGAATCCTTTTGGACACCTTGACAAGAGCTCTCATTGGCATGACATGGCAGCTGACGAGCGGATAAATCTAACAGTCGGAGGAACTTCGTGAGCCTTGAAGAAAAATAACCTCCCTAGCCAATCCTCGTGGTCTTCCCAAATACACATCGGTGTCTTGTCCGACAGCACCGGTTCTTTCTATGATCAATGGCCTCCCTGCAAATAGAATCCCAAATCACGTTGCCACCAGTTCACTCAAAGCATTTACTTTTCTATCCAAGATGTACCATAGTGCCATACCCATGCTCCGATCTTCTAGATTGCCGTTCCAATGTCAACGTCAAGACACAAGACCCTGCTCCTCCAATAAACATAGGTCGAAGAGAATGCCAGCTTCGCAGACAACGGGTTATACGTGCTTCCACCCGTTCCAAATCAGGATATGCTGTTCATCGATGATACACAGCTCCCCAGTCTCCTTTCTATCCTCCAGCGAATTCTCCCCTTCTTTGACCCACCTTTCCATTTTCTTTTTGACTTCCTTCATAGTCTTGGTCTCGCGTGGCAAAATGTGTCTCCTAACACGATTTGTCCATACCCCAATGACGTATTGCGTTGCGGAAACAAAGGTCTCGTCAGGTCCAAAGTGCGTGGCGTTGTAGGCTTCCACGGTGTATCCAACACGTACTGACGGGTTGACGTATATCCGATCAGCAGAACCGGGAGAAGTGAGGTTCATGTCTGTGTGGATGAGACAGCATTCGCTGGCTTCAAGATGCTTGCTGGCAAGACTATCGCTCAGTGCACGAAACTGAAGTCCATCGTAGAAAGGCGTGCTGTCCATCGCGATCATCCCGTTCCAGCATGCTGAGACTTTGGTTGGGAGACCCTTGAGCATTGACTCACGAGACTCCGGAGAACGGAAATAGGGAAATATAGACTGGACTGTGGCCAATCTTTCATTATCCCTTAGAACGAAGGTATCGTAATAGGCTGGTGGCAAATGGAAGTCAAGGGCACATGCGGAAGAGAAGGAACCTTGGTTCGTGGCCAAGAGTGTAAGGACGTCCTGTGGGCGGAACACGACATCATTGAGGAAAAGGATCCTATCGTACTTTTGCCCTTGCTCGTCGCGGAGCCTGAAGAGAGGCTTTAGAGATAGGTTCCGTAAGCGAGCGAGGTATGGAATTCTTCGCATCTCTTTACCCCATTGCGTTCCCACACTCGTGGTCTGAATCCAGCCCTGCCGAGGGACACCCTGGTCATCGAGCGGACCAGCGTTAATTTCATCTGCGTGCGTAGTTGGATCCAAGACCGTTTGGTGAGGAATGTTGTTCTGCGCCAGCACATCATCCAGCATTTTCAGAACTTCCTTTGTGTTGTCTAGGCTCCCCGACTCGTAGATGCTCACGTATACATTCTCCTTTCCCAAAACTCCTACCAGATCGAGAAGAGCCTGACCCCATCGCTCGGAGATGACATGTGCATTGGTCCAGAACTGGGCGACGATGAAGATCTTTTGATTCTGTAGCGGCGTCGGTAGAAGCGCTGGGGATGTGTATACATGGTCGAGGAGGTTACGGGTGAACTCGCGGTGGTGTTTTAGAATCGTGAGCAGGTCAAAGACAAAGAATGTGAACAGGACGTAGAGGAGAAGCCGCAGAGCACGGCGTTGGAGAGGAGAACGGCGGTAGGATCGCGGCGGAAGTAACATGGCCACGGCAGGAGACGAGGGCCATCTGTTTGCGAGATGAGAGCATCGTGGGAGAACCAAAGGTTAGACCTTGGGACACTGTCCGGGCGCGTTTGACATGTCTTGGTTCTTGAATCTGAGGGGGGGAGGAGGCGCGTTGAGGCTGATGAAAAAGGAGTCGGACCGGGAAAAACATCATGCCGAATTAGACCAAGTTCCTTCAATGCCTCCGGAACCAAATGTCCTTCTATCCTCACCTCGTCCTTGACACGGTCAGGGCTACTACATTTGGCGAAGCATATGATGGAGGCGTGAAATTTCCACGTCTGCGCGGACCCATGAAGCGCAATTCCCTACCAAGATCCAATGCCGTGTCACTGCACCTTACTCAAGAGTGTCGTTTCCTCTGGATGATTGTGGCGCGTGGAATTGGGGACAGAAAAAGCAAACTTTGAGGGATCCTAGACGCGCGAGGCTCACCTCCGCAAGAAGGGAATAGATCGCCCTGTATGGTGGATGAATTGGTATTTGTCCTGGGAACTCCTCCTGCGTGTCTACACACCGGTGCATGGATACCTGCATATCATCACGAGCTGAATGGATCACCAAAGGCTATCTGCGTGGTCGCACGATGGAGCGTACAGGATCCCAGACAAGGTCGTCGAATCAACGGCGACCCAGCAGAGGAGCAAACATGGATACGAGCAACGTTGCGTACGCTGTGCAGCATCAGGTAATTTCCACTCCAATTCTGGCTATATTGACTGCAGGAAGATACAAGATATCACCATCCAACGATGGGTGGTAGCTGAGGGTGCTGGTGCCCGGCCAACAAGGTCAGGAAGAGCCATTGCATCACTTTGTATGACCACACCACGTCCAAGAAACCAATGACTGGGAGTTCTGGGGATTGCCACAACAGACGGTTCAGAAACAAGACGACAATCAGTTGGTACCTCGTAGACGTCGGAAGAAATGGAGGAATGGGTACAATCGATGCGGCTTTAGAACTGCGCATCATGGTGGTCTTGGCTTGACTTCAGCTGCGGTCGCTGGGATCATCTTCCTAGTCATATAAAGAACGCACAGTCCTACTCTCCCAGTTCCATCTCGGCCTTGCAACGCTGTTAAACAGCCTCAAACATCCCTTCTTTGCTCCCAACGATTCCCGAGTCACCCCGTGTGAGCTTTGTGCATTGTTGCTGGCTTTGAGACAAAATATTCAGAGATCCTCCCACCATGCGGCTTTGCGTCCTTCTGCTGGTCTTGCTCAGCTTCACCAGCGCAGCATCTGTGCCTCGTCCGTCCAGTAATCGCTATCCCATCAATCGCCGGCCGCAGACTTTTACCACGCGAAACGTCACATCCACCTCAGACACCTTGTCCCTCAACATCGATCCCGACGTAGTGAACCCGGTCTGTGGTGGGATCTATGAGGCCAACATCAATATTCAGACTGCACCAGACCCATTCTACCTTAGCAAGTTCTGTCAGAACGTCTTGGGTTATATCGGCGGCCCAAAAGGTGACAAAGATGTAGACGTCATCTTCGCTTGCACAGGCTTCAGCACCTCAGGAACAGGAACTCGAGACGTCAAGATCATCTTCAACACTCAAGCCAACTCGGCGATAGATGCTGGCAAAAGTGGTACACAACTGATCCCAGCAAACATGCAGCTTGTCTCGGAGAAGAACAATGTGTTTTACAGTTCAGAGGTGAACATTGGAGTCAAGAGAAACAGCGGGAATGGGGATGTGGCCTTTCAGCACATCTATTGTTGACCGAGTCGAGACCAAGAGGTAGCCGATTTGTTGGGCGCATGTTTCTGATCCATGGAGAGTTGTAAAGTGTCGAGGAGAGATTTTTTGACAGAAGCCAAGATGGCAGTGAGGATTTCGAGCGGCGTCCCCAACCCATCTGAGTTGCTCGAACAGAGTATCGCGGGGAGAAGAAACATATTGTCTGAGGTTCGTGGGACAAAGGAGGAGGCATAGCAGGGCTGTGGTATGACAGAATACCGATCTGGAAGCATGATTCAGTTGTGCTCAGGGCTCCAACCCGAGACCAAGATTCATGCCTGGAAATAGACAGCTCAGGCCGCGTACTGCTCTCAACGACATTCGTGATATCAACCAAGCCTGTCAAGCAATTGCCGGCGTCGTCGATCCACCAATTCTTCTTGAACTTCTTCAAGGGTAGGCAGGCGCCATCTCACACCATCGCCGGCGTCGCCAGGTAATGGCTCCCAATCTGAATCCTCGTCTTCTGCGCCAGCCAACTTCGCCACCCTCTCAACAGCCTCCTTTTCTTTCTTCCTCTCATATTTCAAAAGCGTTGGATTCTCCTCGTCAGGCCCAAACCCGAAATATCTGGCGTCGAGGTTCCTCCGATTGATGTCCAGCTGGGGTTTCTTGGCGGCTTCTTCTTCCTCGTCGCCGTGGGCTCTCCTCTTGGCCGCCCGCTCAAACATCTCCTTCACACCAGGTAGCTCTCTCGCCCTTCCGAAGTATCTGTACCCTTTTCCTCCCCCGGAAACCTCTCGCCCCTGATCGTCAAAGACTGTGCCTCCCCCTCGCATATAATTTGGTCCCCCAAGCTCCCGTATGCGCCGTTCCCAACCCCACTTCTCTTTCATCAACTTGTTGATCTCATCATTTAAATCCCTAATCTGGAAGTCGGACAGAGATTCGTCTTGTATTTTTGTTACTTTGCGCGAAATTTCCCTGAGGATTTGGCCGCGCCACTTTTCGCACAAGGGCACCGTATCAACCGTAGAAGGTGCCTTTGGTCGGCGTAGGCTGGCAGACGGGAGGAGACCAGATTCGGCAGCCTGTGCGGCGCGGAACCGGAAGAGCATGGACTGCGCCTTCTCTGAATTACGTGCCATGGCTGGGAATGTGAGCCAGCAGCACTTGTGATTTCGTTGTCCAACGGAAGTTGTGTAGTGGTAGGCACCACGAGGAATGCGCTGATGCGCGCAGGATCGAGTTGTAGACGCGAACACTCGTTCGTGGAGATGCCGAGGATTTGGTGTGCTTCAGAGGAACCAGATTTGGGTCAGATGTGGCCTCACAAAACAAAGGGGACTCAAGTTGCGTTGACAAGGCGTTTAGATATGTATTAGAGTGATCTGTGAAGGTTTGCGAGACTGCGAGGTTGCGGAACTCGATGCGGAGATCGCATGATTGGGAAAAAAAATTGTGGGGGAAACACTTTCGAGGGCATTTACCAGACTTTCAGAGGTACTGTACAACAGCTGTTGCTCAAGCATCCGCAGATCTACTCATAGCATATGTGTCGCGCAGTGATTGTGATAGTATGCGGCTTGGTGTCTTCGTGATCTTATACGTACAAAATGCTATAATGCCCCCATCTCGTTGCACAATATACCTACGCTAGATATCTGTCGTGTCTCTATCTACACCCTACGTCCAAAATGTCGCAATGGATCCAGAGGCATACCTCCGCGACAGCCTTCCAGATTGGCCTTGCTGCGACGCTGGGTGCAGTTGCAGCTACCACGGTGATCTTTACCACCACCGCGATCCACCGCCGTCGAGCAACCGAAGAGCTCAAAGCCTCCATTCCCGAGATTTCGCGCGAGCACCATGCCATGCAGCTCACGGAATATGGGGGAGCCAGCCGTCCCACGATGACAGACAAGGAAGATACTCGTGCAGCGCAGATAGCAGCGAGGGCCAGGAAGGGAGACTACGATGAGGAGTTGATACTCGAGCAATTGGCACGGAACAGAGTGTTTTTGAAAGACGAGGGCCTCGCGAAGCTGCGGACTGCGTTTGTGATCGTCGTGGGACTCGGTGGTGTAGGAAGCCACTGTGTCGCGGCGCTGGCCAGGAGTGGTGTTTCGCGCATCCGAGTGGTGGACTTTGATCAGGTCACGCTGAGCAGTCTCAACAGGCACGCTCTTGCGACGCTGGCAGACGTGGGGACGCCCAAGGTCAACTGTGTCAGGACAAGGTTGGAGCAGATCTGTCCGTGGGTGCGCATCGACGAACGCAATGAGCTGCTGGGATCACGGTCGATTGAAGGGCTGCTGGGGAAATGGGATTTCGAGCTGAGAGACGGTGAAGGCTCCAAAGAGGTGGATTGGGTGGTCGATGCCATTGACAACATTGACACCAAGGTCGAATTGTTGAAGTACTGTGCAATGAGAAACATCAAGGTCATCAGTGCTATGGGAGCAGGGTGCAAGAGTGATCCAACCAGGATACAGGTCGGAGACATCTCGACTAGCGTTGAGGACCCTCTATCAAAAGCGACGAGGCGGCGGCTACGGCTCATGGGCATCAGCAGCGGGATTCCTGTCGTCTTTTCGACGGAGAAGCCCGGCGAGGGTAAGGCGGAGTTGCTCCCCATCGCGGACGAAGAGGTCCAAAAGGGTCAAGTCGACAAGCTGGGCGTCCTGCCTGAATTCCGTGTCAGAATCTTGCCTGTTCTCGGAACGATGCCGGCCGTCTTTGGATATACCGTGGCCAACCATGTCATTTGCAGCGTTGCTGGATATCCGATGGACTACCGGATGGGCGACAAAGGGAGGGAGAAAATGTACGACGCGATCCTGTCGACCTTGCTGGGCCTCGAAGAACGACTTGTCAGGTCAACCAACGGGCAAGATGTTGTCGGTCTCCGACTACCAGTGAGCCGCGAAGATGTTGCTTATCTTGTGGAGGAGATCTTCCGTGGCAAAAGTGTCATTAGCGGACTGGGCACCAGACTTGCTCTCGTCAGATGGCGGAAACCTACCGAAGGCTTCAAAGTCGACCAGGCGTACGAGAAAGAAGGACAGAAGATGATCAAACTCCCGCTGACAGACTTGGTTCTTGTGACCAAAGAGGAGGCACAGAGGCATGAGAAATTGGTCTTGAGGGGGGAGATGGATCCAGACGAGCTATATGACGCCAGTGTCCTATCGCGAGTCAAAAGGCGCCTTGACGACGAGAGAGCATATGAGAGGTATCGGTAGAAAACTACCTGCCTGTTATGCGATTCCCCTGCACGAAAAGAGTGATGTTGGCGAGCCTCGTCTACATGTCCGTCCAAGCTTCATGCTCTCATGGACGGCTACGAGCGCATCTGCAAAAGAACCAACAATATGTTGCGCCACCCTCTCCCCGACAAGGCGATTAAATATGCCAACTATCATCTTCCACTATCTATCAGTCCTTCGGAAAACCGTGGGACGCTTATGTTCTCCCTAAAGCGTCAAGGCACCGCAGGTTTAATACGCTGAAGCCTACGTACGGACGCAAATCATTCTCCAACACTGTCTCTGAAAGGAGACTCTGCTGGTGTGTCTTCGAGAAGCACATACACCTTGCTCTCAAGCTTGCGACCGGCCGACGAGGCGGAGCATTCAGACACAGGGAAACCAGGGTCAGTCCTTGCAGATCAGCCTTCTCAGTACATTTCCTGGAGCATATCAATACGGTGATTTACCAGGCTGGTCTTCAATTGGATCTCGACTTCATCCTCGCCTCCTATCGGCCTGTAATGAAGACAAGTTGGGAGTCGGACGACGAATCTGGCGCCAGGAAACTATATAGAAGGGATGGAGTGTTAGACAGCCTTGCGATGCACGTGTAGAGCGAACGTCAAGATCATGTCCACGGCAAACCTCGAAAAGGAAAAGACAAGCAGCAATTGGATAGATGGTTGTTGGTTAGATTGAGCTGCGAGGGCTGAGTACATGACAGATTCGCCGTGCCGCAAGACTCCAACTCACCACCTGCAAGGCGTCAAATCTACCAACCAACCAACCAACCCTGCATCCTGCATGCCACTGCGCCTCGTCTTCCATGGACCCCAATGAAGGTCGACTTGTATCGAGAAATCAGCCTAATCCTAGCGAGTTTGCCCGTTCAAACCTCCCTTCAGAACATGTCTCAAATCATGCTCTCTTTTTCAATCGCGCTGCGACGGCTCTGTCACCTTGAACTGCTTTCTTCTTCCCATATATGCCCGCTATGGAGCCTCTTAGTGCCGGAGCGAGTGTGCTGGCCTTCGTAGGAATTGCTCTGGAAGGAACAAAATCTCTCTACAATGTGATATCTGGACTCCGACATGCAACACGAGGCACAGCGTCTCTTGTTTCCGCCGTGGGAAACTTGCAGAATATCTTGACACAGCTGCGCGACTGCAGAGCGTTAGCCGATCCTAATAATAACCTACACAATATCAGACATCTGCTTGATGCTTGTACTACAGACATGGCGAGCTTCGAGAAGACCCTTGACAAGATACAACATGATCCGAGTACCCCCAAGCTTCAAAGAGTGTGGAAGAAGGTCAGGGCAACTGTGGCAGAAAAGTCACTCACTGCCATGTGGCACAAGCTGAACTATCACTGCAGCGTGCTGCAGTTACAACTCAATCTTCTACAAAGGTAAGTGATTATATTTCGCGCAGCGAACGCCCCCCTTGACCGAATGGTGCAGCCATTTACAATATCACAGTAATGCTACACTGGACTGTAAAGCCCAGATCCACGAAATCCGAGACACCTTGTCCACGGGTGCTTTGCAAGTCTCCTCTTTCAACGACAATGTGCAAGACATCAAAGTTTCGGTAGAGGAGGTGGTCCGGAGCACCGTGGCAACTGTCAACCATAACATCGGGCAGACATCAGGAGCGACTACTGCGCAATTGCAAAATATATCCACTCTTCTGGAAGCACTTCAAGACCAGGTTTCGGGAAATTCAGCTCGCTTAACTGGTCCTCAACGATCTGGTGCCATGCCCCAAGAGGGCAACTCACCACCTGCTCCCTCCGACACACCCATTGGGATGAATGCGGACCTAAGGAAATGTCTTGCCAGGTTATGCGAACTAGAATCCCGGAACCCAGACATGATGCTCTACGAGGAGGAAGCAGAAACCATTATTGAGGATCTGGAATACTTTCTATCAGCGCTGTTTGAGCTCAAGCAGAGTGAGGATTTGGATTCCGGGACCGGGGAGGAATTGAAGGAAGAGAATCAACGTACTGCGACAATCACACGCCGTGACATGAGGCGTATGCGCGGCCTTGTTTCAGCGGCTGCTACTGTAGGGGTGAACCAAGCCCGTGAGTTTCTCCTTTCTGCTTCTCGCAAACTCCTGATCAGATAGCTCACCAAACGAAAGCAAAACGGTCCACTGCAACCCAGCGTGGAAAAGTCATTCAAACGCATCGCACTATCGATCTTGTCCTGCCAGGTTGTAAGACAAGCATCACTGTCAACAAAAGGGCGTTCCAAAAATGCTCCGAGCCTTCCAGGCAGGGAAAACTTACCGCCGGTCCACACGCGGAAGAATTCTTCGCAATTGTCAAAGCTTCCATAGAGGATGCTGAATCACCCGCCGTCCTTGTTGCATATCTGCACCAGATCCAGTCCGACAATGGGTTTTATTCCTTGAACCCTGTGGTTTCCATTGGTAGAATTGTACCTACTGGTTCTGCGATCTTTGAAATTGTGAGCCGAGGCGATGTTGAAGGACTCCGGAGGCTCCTTGCACTTGGAGAGGGGTCTTTAAGAGATAGGGATCCCAGGGGTACTCCTCTCTTACATGTGAGTGGATGTTAGAGACTGACTCGCATGCTTCTCATGCTTATAGCGTAAAGTACGCTGCTGCAGGAGCTAAAACAACGACCCATGGCGATATGTGCAAGTTTCTCATTCAGCATGGAGCAGACGTCGACGAGATGGCCGAGGATCCTAGGCAGACAACTGGACATTCCAGGTAAGTTGACTCAAGAGTGGAATACTGTAAGCACCACGTATGGGACTGCTAATTTCTTTGGTTCAGGACGCCAATGTGGTTGACACGCAAGGTTGGCCTTTCTTGGGAGTCCATCACAGAGTTCGTTCGTCTCTTTCTGGAGGCTGG